TTGAATGTGTGGGATATTTTTTCCCTGGGATATTTTTTCCCTGGGATATTTTTTCCGGGATTCAATGGTAGTATATGGGTAGTGTAAATAAATCTTATGTACACATTTGAATACTTTAAATAAATTTGAAAAAAATCATTACTCCTTTGGTATACGGGGATTCCTAACGGATTGGAACGATTGGCCGTTTTCAGAATGTAGCGAAAAAATAGGTGTCGATTAAGCAACAACTTGTTCTCCCCGTAACCGTGTCTAAACCAAAACGATCAGATCGCGTGATGCCGATCGCGTCTCAATCGGTTAATTTGATTTCCTGCGAGGCCTTATTCCCCTCCTAGTTTGCATGAAATCCCGGTGAGACCTGCAAAACGACCGTCTGGCTTTCGCCTTAAATCGATTCAATTCACTTCTATTCTTGTAACTCAAAAAGACAGAACATGAAGAGAGAATAAATAACCGCGAGATAACCAATTGATTGATGCATCTGGAATTGACATACACGAGGCGGGAAAAATACTCGGGGGATCTGAATTTTTTGGCTCGAGTGAAAAAATCCACACAGACCACAATTCGGAATTATTTCTATTGATAATGTCAATCATGTCATCATAAATCATTACACTTGCGTCAGTCCATATACTCTTCTGTTATCATGAATAGAAATTGCATTGAAAAACTGTGAATTTATCCTTGAAATTTGGATCGAAAAGTGAAAGAGTCACTTCCTCTACCCACAGGAAGAATTTAATGTTTTTAAAAATATAAAAAATATCTGTTTTATACAAAATTTCACTCGATTTTTCCACGCGTGTGGGGGCGGCGGGGGAATAAAAATTTCCCCTGACTTCATTTCAAATAGAATTTGAAGGTATACTTCCTCATTTATGGAAATTGAGTGAAATCTAAAAATCGATGAAATATCAGAGAGAGAATAAAATTGAATTCTGAATTTCCGCAATATTAAAAACTTTCTAAAACATTTGATGTTTCCCAATTATTATAGATCATTCTGATAGTTAAGTGATTATTTTTTATATTGAATAAATTTGTATGTGTGTGTGAGTACGTAGAAATCCCTGAAGACCCAGTGTAGAAGTTGAATTGAAAAAAAAAATAGTTAGCCTAACGATTTCAACTATTGATTCAGTGGTTATCCATCCACTACATACAGGGACGTGTGTACAGACATATCAATGATTTAGTATTTACTTCTGTTAAAATAAACGAATATAATGTCAAGACAAACATCAATATCAAATGTGAATTGTTGCAATGGATAATTAAGGGTCATCTCTAGCGGTAGTTTCTTCATGAGTCTCAATGATGAATTGACAAAACGAGAGAAATCGTATTTCATGAGAAAATTTTATAAATAAATACATAAATCATCATATAAGACCAATTGAAATATATAATCATTCGTTAATATAATTATTGCTTATATTCATTTCCATGGACACTTGAATTTTGAAAAAAAATTCTGAAAATCAATTGCTATCATTTAGTCATTTGACCCTTGAATTATTTTGAAAATAAACGTGAATATGTAATAAAAAACACCGTTACAAATATATACATATGTATATATATATATATGGGTTAGATATGCATTTCGGTATCAAATATCGAGGGTATATTCCAACCACTAGGGAAAAATGGTTTGAATGTGTAAATAAAAACTAGAACATTCAGATAAAAATGAAATAAAGGTCAATGTTTCCATAGGTGTTTTTTAAATTCACTAGAATTGCTATAGTCATTCGGCTTTGTTGATAAAGACAGACATATTGATGAACTCGACGTTTCGAATGTTTTTAGCACTTGAATTTTGCATATAAATAAAAGTGAATTTAAATCTCTCTAGAATGAGAATTAATTTCGGCCATTCTTCTATCTGCCGTAAATGGTTTCTCTCCTTCCCCGGAAATTCAGACGTAATTTCAATTTTTATCGATGGCAACGACATTTGACAGTTATCGCGGTTAAATAAAGAGATTGGTTTTTAATTTTTCTAAAATTTCGTACATTAAGATAGTATGATCGAGTCATTTCACTAGAACGTGACCAACGGAAATATAATTCCAATGTAATCGTAATGGGCAATCTCGTATAATAGGTAATTTCTGGATATTGGAAATGTTGTCGGGCTTGCAATTCCCCTGGACTTCCGATGTTCTCGTGTAATTTCGTTTTTTACCAATTTTGCGATTGTTGGAAAACCGAAAAAGCCACCGAATAAAACCATTGGAGTAACACAGAAAAAAAAATCATGAAATTAATCAATTCATAATACACTTTATCTATCGAAGAATGATGAATTTAATTACCATTTCTAATTATTTTAATTGTTTTAAGAAAAGAAATTCTGCGAGTTATTGGTATTTTTCAGAATCGCAACAGATTTTCAGATTTTAATTTTATAATTTTCCTGATTCATTATACGTATCTGTCCTCTAGATTCTAGACACTTCAATGCTAAACTTGCTTTCGAAAAAAAAGTGATCTTGCTTAGTGAAACCGAAGAATTCAATGATTTTTATCCAGCAAACAAGGTGGAAAGATCAGAAAGTTTTTTCAAATTCTTTTAACAAACCCTTGTATACTTTCCCACTCATATTTAGGAAGGATTTGCGGCGAAAAATATTGGCAATTTTCGCCTTATGTCATAATAACTTGTCGAACTGATATCACAATAAAGTACTCTCCGATTGAAAAATTTGCATTCATAATTTCATTAATTTGGAAAATTAATGAAGAATTTGGTATGATGTTCACTCGAAATTGAACCGAGATACTTGCTCTTTAATGTACACTATTTTCCATTTTCAGGCATATTTTTTCTGCTTAACATTAATCTTTTAATTTTTTCTATAAAGACACTAATGCTAGAATTTTCATCCCCTAATTAAATAGATGGCTGAAATTTTGGGCCTTAAAGCCATTCTCCTTGAACTGTTCAGTTTCGTGTATTTATTTTCTTAAATTAAATTTCATTTTTTACATCAATCTCAATAGCGACCTCATTCTTATTCAATGTTATTAATAACCATCATAAGATCAGAATAAATAAAAAATAAAAAGGAATTTATCCTCTTATTTGATTAATTACGTTGGAACAACAATTGTTGTCTTCTTATGGCCGTTAATGGAATCTCCTAAAACAAAATTCCTCATTAAATTCACATTACTTTCCATAAAAACCGAATCATCATTTACACACTCCAATGGAATGAATTAAAAATGAACAAAAAATCTTTATACGAACGAATCAATTGTGATGACAAGTGATAATTAAAGTTGCATTCTGCAAAATTTCGCCTTCACTTAATTACCGTATATAAGCGATGATTATTTTTTTTATTAGGATTAATGTAAATTTAATGAGGAATTTCGTTTTAATCGATTCAATTAACGGGCCTGTACAGGACCACAATTGTTATTGAAGCCGAGGCTTTAATTAATACAATTAAAAGTGAAATTTCAATTTTATTTTTTAATTTATCCTCTTATGTAATTTACGGCGATTATTAAAATTCCATTACGTTTTTTATACTTTACTAAAATGCAAGTTATAACTTATGAATTCTGGAATCTAGAAGAAAAATGTCTCTTTTTTTCTCTGTGAATGAAAAACTGAAATTTTCCATAGAGTCCATAGAACAAAAAAAAAATGCGCAATTATTCTTGCTGGTGAGGGTAAAATAGTGAGTTCAATCTAGGTAGTAATTGCAAAATCCTGAACATATCATCGCTCAATATATTTACACCACTAAAAGAACGTGCGACAGTCCTTGCGGGATAAGTGAGGGGTGCTATCCCATCACTGTGCAATTATATACCGGAGAACTAAAAACGTATGTCACTAGCAGAAGTGATAAACGAGAATTTCACCGACTAATCTCATAAAACAAGACATCAAGATGATTATTTTATCAAATTCAAACAGAGATTGAAGTTGATTAGCCTCATTTCACCACTTCAGCACGGATTTATCCAGTGAATAAAAGGAATAAGTTAACAAGCTCTGCTGCGACAAGTGGTTGCCAGGATAATTTCAATACTTCATCATCGTGTTATACAGAGTGACAACCACAACGAGGGAAGTGTAAATACTCGTGGAGGCCAGTCACATTGTTCATAAATACGTAATCCCTTGATAAACAGACATCAGAAGGTGTCACGATTTGTTTCAATGGTGATATTCTAATAAAATGACGTGAAGATGCAACATAGATGAGGTGGTGATAAGGGGGTGGGAGGGGAAAAGGTACAATTAAACAATGTACGAGTCGTCGAGGTCCATGTAGCGCTGAAGAGGGCCGGAGGTACTTACCCTGTGCATCATACTTACTGGAAAAGTTCCTCGTTGCTAACATCGTCGTTAATATAACGCCCTGTTGACAGAAAAACAAATAATATTTATGCTCATCCATTTTCCGAGTTTCACACACGCGAGGAACAATCTCTCGATTAATTAATCGAATAGAATGCTTTTTTAAAATTTTTCTTTTATCTCATGCCCTGTGAAAGTCGCAATTACTGCCTTAGTCGAACAACTTTTTGTTCTGGAGGCTTAGGTCCTCGAGATAGCGAATAACTCGTTGAAAATTCAATTTTTTTGTTTAAAACATTTATTACATATTTATTATTTGTGTATAAATATATTCGTAAAATTTCAAGATAGTTGATGGAGTACTTTTCTTTTGGAAGAATTCAACAATCAGATTTTTTTCGGATAGTCACACTAGGTTTGCCACTTGAAAATTCGAACGTTTTCAAATTTTTTTTTCATTCTTTCCACAATTTTGCCCATAAAAATTGAAGGAATTTTTTTTCTAAATCGAACTACCTCCGAAACAACCGGAGACTCTTGTTTGCAGTATTCAATCCTCCTGACGATCTTCCTACTATCGTTTTCCGCTCGGTGTCGACAACACCCGGAAAACGGATTACAACAGCCATAGCCACATCCCGAATTAGAATTATAAAATAACTTCGACATAAGCAACCAGAAATTACCACGAAAATATCCGAAAAAACATTTGAAATGGCTGAAGGAATTATTAATAGAAATCGATTGAGTAACAAGACGAGAGCGCCTTGATCGATTGACGATTCGAATCGCACTGACCGTATCATCGTAGTGACCATTAAGCACTGTAAACAGGGCCGTATGCATAAACCCAGTGTGTGAAACCTACCTACAGAGATAATAATGTCATAATTAAAGATATGAACATGAATTATTACTCGTCAACTGTTTTAGCTTCTCAATCGAAGTCTTCCAATGTCGCAATTTAAATTCTATATTTTTTGTGTTGGGTCGACCCATTACGACCTAAAAAATGAGAAAATGTAATTATCGAATCGTGTATCTAATCAGGTCGCATCTTTTTCGAACTTCATCCCCGATTGGGAGCTAATATATCCACGAAATGAAATTAATCCCGCTCCTACGTAATTACTGTTGAGCCCTAGTTATCAAAATTTATCAGAATTCAATTCATTAATTGATTTTTGGAATTTGTCCAAAAAATAAGTCCTGATGACTTCTTGAGCGACTTGAAAAATGGAAATGGTAGCAATAACCGTTATATCGATTTATAAGAAAGATCGGTCAAAATTCGTAATTCAGAGATATTTTTCTTCAATTCAATTTGATTAAAACTCAAAATGATAGTTTCGATGTTATACTGTTGGCATTGGACGAGTATTTTTCCCAATTCTTTGTATAACCATTCATTGGTAAAAATAACTATTAAATATGTAATGAAAGAGTAATTCTCCACATGTTTTCTTTCAATTTCAATAATGTCCCCAGCTTCTCAAACTCCGTGTTGCCTTCATTAGATTCATCATGCAACGTTGCAGAATTATTCACATATCAATGGGTGGAGTTTATGATGTTTAAATTACCATTACCGTACCAAATGCCTCGACAATATTATCTATTAATAGTTTTCGCCAGGAATGTAAATACTACGTGAATTGGTGTTAGAATCTATTATAAAATAGATGATTGTCTTTCGTCAATGTGCCTCGGTGTTTGTCGATTAATATATGATAATGAGTACTTTGTGTTTCTTCTTGTCACCACTGGTAACCACCTGACGTTAGTACGAACGAGGTCTTTGTTATGATAACGCCCGTGGAAAATGAATATGTTATTCAACACAGATATTGAGTTCAGTGAAGCAGTGAAACAAGCCGTGGTAGGACAGACGACTCTATTTTTCAATTGCGTATTGCATTTGGTCTCGATTCATTTCAGTGATAATTCAGTTAACTACTGAAAAAATATACGAGTAATTGCATGTAATACATCCGCATATCTATATCAAATATATACTACAACAGATAATATCTGCCCTAAAAATTGAATATGTAAAATATATTTCTCACGTGAATATATGAATGAGGATAATTTTCCAGTATATATAGGAAATATGACATTTGCAGGAAATACATATGTGCATATAATTGGCATACATGTTTAATATATATTTTTCACATGGCGAGACATTCATAATTGCGATTATTCTCATTCAACCAGAAGTAATTGCAACAGTTTTATAATCTCGAGACCCTACTTTGTTTCAAAAACTGATTACAAATGGATTTTCTATTTTTAGATTCTATTTAATGCGGCCTCTTGTTTGGTTTTAGCGTTATTAAAGAACAGTACGAAAGGATAAACTGGGGAGAGATTGATTGAAATTCATGAGCAATGTACCAACACTAGCATATTCCTCATAGACATAGCTATAAATTGTGTAACCATCTTAAATTTCTTTGTAACCATGCAGAGTTGACTTGTGAAACAGTCAGGGCGCGCGAGAAACGCTTCATCGATTGCTTTAACGACTTCTCAAAGTGTTCCCATGGTTGAAATTAAACTCAGTTAACCCACAAATGTTTATCGATTCATTGTTTTTGTCGATTGGTGATTGTTGATTCAACTTTGCCAATGAGAATGTCAATGCCGGAGTCATTTGGATAATTAAGCGTAAGAGAATCGTTAACTTTCCATTCAAACTTCAGAAAATTTTTTTTATCACCCCCTCGTGTTGCTGACATGTACTCGATAATTGACCTCGATGTATGTACTAGGGAACCCATTTCATGTTTACAGCGTACCCCTTTCCCTTATCGACAAATGTCCGTCACACACGCATGACAAACAAAATCAATCACTTGCCCCCTAATAAGATGACAAGTCCAGTTGTCACTCAGCCCTTGACCCACATCTTGACGTCCAGTCAGTATTCATTTTATGATTATCGTCATAAATTTTGGAACAGATTTTATCGTGTAACCCTGCACTGATTTAAAACCAATTGGTTTGAAAAATGAGTATGATAGCTGTTGTGTGCATGCACGAAACCACAAAATTAATACTTTCCGTTTTCGGGTATTCGTACCAATCGTTATTTTCACACAATGACGCGTGTTTTTTCCGAACCGCCGGCTCACAAAAATCATTAAATTATATTCCATACTTTTCTCAATTTTTCCCGCAGCTGCTCCCTATACGTTTCATTTTTCTATTCGCAATTTTACCGAACCCAGAAATAATTACTACTCATCCATTACAGAATCCTGACGTATTTTCCCACCCGCAAGTCTAGTTTATCGTTAAATCTGCTGCGGCGGACTTCAACTATTCCAATAAACCCAAATTATGGCAGGAAATTTTGTCACAATTTCATTTTTCCTATATTGAATTCTCCTAATTAGTTTGAGGGAACCACCATTTAGTGCCAAGACTAGTTTTTACCATTTCGGGCGTAATCTCTATACAAATTCACAAAGATAATTGAATAAAGGAAAATGTTAAAACGCCAGTCGTGTGCACCCATAATAAAAACCAAATCTCCCATCATTCACCCATTATCTCACTCAGTCCAAATATTCAATAGCTAAAAAATCGAATCAACTGCAAAAAGAGACGACTCTGCATGCAACAATTAGTCTGACTGTGTCTGCAGTTCGAACCTCTGGAATATACGACTCCAGAAAATGACAATGGTAAAATTCATTACCTAAAAAAAAAACAAATGAAATATTTGATGAAACTTACCTTTAACTTGCGCCTTGCATTGAATTTCTTCAAGCAGTCGACAGTCTCTTGCCTGTGTACCACAGACGCCACACGTTCACGTTGCTGCAAGAATAAAACGAGAGAAAAACGATTTAATACAGTTGACAGTTGGAATTGACCTAGCTTCATCAACGGCAATAACAATTGAGGCAGACACTTACGCAGATCCATGGGTGTCTGAGTGCTTCACTGGCGGTTATACGCCTACTTGGGTTCACTGTTAACATCTGATTGATGAGGTTCCTAGCTTCTGGGGTAACAGTGTCCCATTCCGGGCTCGGGTACTGCAAAATAGTAAATTAAAACATTACATTATTCATCTGATTGGGGATATGATCGGTCTCCGCTCGTTTTGCACGCCAAAAACCTTACCGCTCGTTTAATCACTCTAGCAGTATTGTTTCGTAAGGATTAGATTCATGATAGCCAAAGCTCCAGTTTCATTTTACGAGAATAATTTTGAACCCTTGACATTATTTTAAACGAGACCTACTGCGCCCTCTGTGCGCCGAATTTGAATTTGGCGGTTCGAGTTGACCAATCAGGAATATGTCCTACACGTTTCGAGATATTTCGACTCGGGCGAACTTCATTTTTG